TGAGTTAAATCAACATCATATTGATTTGATCAGATTAACATGGTAATCACTGCCATATCAGCATATATATATATATAGATATGTAAATGATAGATCTTACGCCAAATTATAAATATAAATATACAAATCAATATATATATAAATATATTTAAAGATATTAACATCTCCTCTAAACTCAAGTTGCACCGTGAAAACCAACTTGAGTTTGCTAAAAAATGACTGAGAACGGTTAAAGATACGAGGTTTGGTGAAAGTCTGATCGTCTGAAGAGGTGAAAGATAACAAGACATGATTATGAGCAACGTGAGAACAGACAAAATGACAATTAATTTTGATATGCTTTATGCACTCACGAAAGACATCATTGACGGAAATCTTCATAGCACTTTGGTTGTTGCAATGAATAACGGTAACAGAGGATTTAGGAACACCAATATCAACCAAAAACTAACAAAGACATAAGAGTTCAACATAGTGTTAGCGAAGACATGATACTTGAATTTTCCATTGAATCGAGAGACAATTGTTTGTTTTTTACTACGTAAGGAAATAACTGAGTCACCAAGAAAGAAATAAAAGTTAGTAGTCGATAAAATATCGGTAGGGTCTCTAGCCCAATCAACATCAAAATAACCAGTCAGAACCAAGGACGAATGAACTGAATAGTGAAGACCATGTAGGAGAATGCTCTTGATGTACGAAATAATTTGTAGAACAATAGAATAAAGAGCCGTTTGAGGAAAAAACATTAAATGACTGAAGATATGAAAAAAATTAGAAATTTGAGGACGAGTAGCAGTAAAGTAAATCAAATCTCCCACTAATTGACGATACAAAGTAGGATCATCAAGAAAGGCGTCATTTATTAAAGTAAGACAACAATTAAAATCGAGAGGCGTAAAAGCAAATTTAGAATCAACGAGGATAACTTGGGATAGAACATCTGAAGTATACTAAGCCTAAAAGAGATAAAAGGCATTAGAGTTGTTAGAGATTTCAAGGCCCAAGGAATATTGAAAAGATACCAAGATTTTCATTTTTAAGTGGTGATACAAATGATCTTGTAGCTGAGAAATACCAGATTGATAATCTCTTGTGATGATCATATCATCGACATAGAAAAGTAAAATTGTAATTCCAGCTGTAACATGCCAAATGAATAGATTAGCATCGTGGTACTTGCAAGTAAAACCAAGATAAAGTAAAGTAGAACTACATTTTGTAAACCACATATGAGGTGTACATTTCAATCCATATAAGGCACAACGAAGCTTACATACCTTAGAAGATGGGGACGGACCAGAGGGCGGAGACATATATATATATATATCCTTAAAATGATCACTATATAAGAAGTTTAAGGAGTGGCATCCAATGAACAACAACAATAGCCAACAAATAACCAACAAAGCTAAAATGCACAACTAAAACAAAATTGTCCTCATACTTGATTCCCTACTTTTGTGTACAACTTTTGATTGTTAATTCGAGCCTTGTACCTTGCAATGGATCCATCATTATGTGTTTTGATCTGAATGTGGTCTTGGATCAGGCTCAGGATGCAGGGGCGGTCCAGAAGATGCAAACAGACAACATCAAAAATTGAAAGAAAAGCCACATCGTCTGATGGACGAGACGTAGACAAAGATGAAAATAGAGAGGGTGGTGGTGAAGTGAATAAATGAAATGTACGGTCAAAGAAAACCTGAAATTTGGATAGAGACACAAATTTAGTATGCTCCCAAAAGATGACATGACGGGAAATATAATTCCGTTAGATATAGGATCTTAACAATTATAACTCTTCTACTCTACCCCATTCCCGAAAAAACAACATAAACACGCACGAGCCTATAACTTAGTACGTTCTTGAGAAGGAAGAAGGATATAGATGACACAACCAAAATGGTGAAGGGGACTATAATCTGTAGATTTGTTAAGGAGTTTTCGAAAGGACTGTCATTACCCATAATAGATGAAAGGAGATAGTTTATGGTGTAGCCGCAAAACAACGCAAATTTCCCACAAAAATGATCCAGAAAAGAGGTAGACAATATAAGAGCCGGACAATATCAAATATATGACAGTGTTTACATTTAGCACAACTATTTTGTTGGAAAATGTATGAAAAAAAGGTTGGATAATTGTATCTTGATCATAGAGAAAACAGAGAAAAGAAGAATCGGCGTATTCAAAAGCATTATCTATTAAAGATTCTATATAGTGCAAGAAAATTGAAAGCATATCATTTGAGTGAATTTTGTATAGATAGAAGATAATTCATAACACTACCATATAAAATAGATCCATGTAAAATGGAAAATATCATTGAAAAAAAACAAAAAAATAATGAAAACTATTCAAGGAAGAAATAAGTGAAGTCCTCAAATATCAGACTGAATTAATGAAAATAATTTTCTGCAACAAATGTACTATACGAAAATGACAAAAAGTAGGTTGTTTCTCCAACGTATAATCCACATAATCAAACGACTTAAAACAAACATAACACAAAAGTCCCTTACTAATTAAAGATCTAATTTTATTTGAAGATGCATCACCTAGACGAATATGCTATTGAATGAAAGATGGTACAGAGGTAGCAACAATATAAATGTGAAGAAACTGAAGCAACTATAGCTCAAATAAACAGCCTATTTTCCAACCCTTCCCAAGAGTTCTCCTAGTTTTTGGATTTTGAACTTGTACACCAGAAGAAATGAGGAAATATTATATTAGGACTTTGATCAACTAATTGACCAATAGAAATTAAGTTCAAGGTTAACTAAGGAATGCAAATTTGTTATGGAGATTTAAAGTGAGTGTAGACACAGAACTTATATGAGTAATGCTTAAATGAGTACCATTAGTTATAAAAATAGATGATAGAGAGGTTGCACTGAATATAAATGGCATAAGGGTCATATTAGAGGTCGTATGGTTACTACGAGAAGAATTAAAATACCAACGAGTTTTACCTGAAGTAATAGGCATTATAGTATTGGAAGAAAGAATTTATTTAAAATGGACTTAAATCCTGGAGAGTAGGAAGTACAAGCTCATATATGACAGAGGTAGTGAATAAAATGATACTAGGTTAAAGAGATCTACGAGTATTCCGAGATTTGATATTAATTCCACATGACGAAGATTGGCGAATAGGACAATACTGCATAATATGTCCTAGAGTGTGAAAATAGAAATCCACTTTGCGATAGTGGCCAAAGTCATGATTAGAAGTTTGATAGTGTTTGCACTTGAATTGATGACCTTTGCTAGTGTGCCAAGTAAGTGAGATGGATTGAAACAGTTAACGAAACAGTTAACGGAGAGTCAATCTTAGGAGACTTATCCAAATGAATATGAGTTTTTTCAAAAAGAATATTCAGAATGGCTGCATCTAATGTAGGGAATGGATGTTGATGCAACATAGAGACATAAATTTCCTTATATTCAGGACGAAAGACCATAAAAACTTTAATGTAGCATAGATGGACAAGATTGATCTCAGTTTGATCTAAGTGGTGCCAAATAGATTGCACCTGAGAAGGGAAGTCATTCACGGATTTCTTCAGTCTCTACTTTCGATTATGGAAAGTACTTTAAAACTAATAATAATGTGCTAAACTAGTAGTGAAAGCAAACTTTTAAGAAATCCCATGCAAACTTGACAGTCTCAAATGAAGAAAGTTGAACTTGTATCAAAGAGTAGAAGTATTGCGCAACTAGGTGAGAATTTAATGATTTTTACTGTTCTAATCCTTCATTTCTCAACAAATACTTCAATGACCTTGGTACCAGGAGCAACGAAGTGGACGAACAAGAGCAACATCTCATGTAACAATTCTCTACATATTTTTTTCCTATCAGAAAATTTTCATCTATTGTACCTAAAACTATAATTATCTTCATATAGAATAATATTTATCGGCATATGAATATCCATTTTCTCCCTAGCATAGATAAAGACTAACCGCAAATAATTTCAAATATCCAAAGTTAAAAAGTACCATAAACAGAAGCAACTGACTGAAAATCGAACTGAACCAAAATTGAATAGAGAAATCAAAACAAAACAAAAAAAAAAAAAACTTCCAAACAATAAAAATAAATTATACCATCAGACTGGAAAATTTTTTCGAGCTTTCCGTAAAGAAATATCTGATAACAACCGGTGGATGCTCTCTCATGTACCGGTGAGGGTTGCGACTATGTCAATCTTCGTCACATGCGTGTGGATACCACACGCTGTAAAATTTTGGTGGCTGGCCAGTGTTCATGCAAAGAATTCAGCGGTGTTAGCGATGATGACATGCAGTGGTGAAAATAAGAAATATGATGAGAGACGGAGCGGTTGGTTTTTGGGGAGAAAAATTAGAGTTCTAATATCATTTTAAAATGCGAAAATACTTTATTTCTAAAGTTGAAATTAGGGATACATCGATATAGATATATACATGATAAGTTTTAGGCCAGACTACAAATATAGATATATAAATGAATACAAATCAATATATATATATATATTAAGTATTAACAAACTAAAGTATTTATTAAGTTGTATTTCTAAAAGACTTTTAAGACATTTTAAATTTTAAAAAAATAAAAAAAAATTAAACAACATTATCCCTTCAAATCCTAAACAACATTCGAAATACCAACCCAACAAACCTCCAATCGAACAGTATCCATTATATTTTGACTACTGACGATCACGACAACTCAACCATGAATGCACATTTATATATAATATGGCAATAACTAACATATATATATATATATATATATTCAAAATGATTCCCATGAAACATCCTGTCATTCCCACAACTCATAATTGGAAAAAAAAAAAAAAAAAAAATTGATTAGAAAAATAATAAATTAAATAATATGCAGTAAGTTGACTCGTCCAATTCCACACGCAAATATACAGCAATTACGAACAAATATAATGTATATGTGATCATTGGTGTATATATATATTTGCAGAGAATATACAGACATCTATCCTTAAGGTTGTCTGAAACACTACTAGAATCATCAGATTAAACCCCAACAATATTATTCATAAATGACGATGATGAATATGCAGCAGGTTCTGTTACTGGTAATTATATTTATAAGCATGGAAGTGGGAATGGGTGTGGATCATAGTGTTGGAGGCAGCAATGGAGGTTGGAGCCAATCCACAGATCTTGCATCATGGGCTGCTGGACAACAATTTCATCCTGGGGATAATCTTGGTCAGTTTTTTTTTTTTTTTTTTTTTTTTTTTTTTTTTTTATGGTAATGTTTTTCTGATAAAATAATTATTGTATGTAATATCTTTTATATAATACATATATATGTATTTTTTTTAAAAAAAACACGATGAAATTGCATAATAATAAAAAAAATATAAACAAAAAGAATAAAGTAATATAGTTGATTTTAATTTTTATGATAAATATATATGAGATGCCAATGTTGAATTTGGAAATTAGACCGCTTGATTTAGAATAAGATTTACGAAATTTTGAAAAAATTAAAATAATAAAACTATGTAGTTAATATGATATTTTTTAAAAAAATTATGTTAATAACAATGCTAAAAATTTTAAAAATGTCTACCACATGGTTTATTTAAAATTAATTTGTTTGTTAAGATAAAATTATAGATTTAATATATGTAAATTTAAAACAAGAAATTATATTTGTGGGTGATAATGTAAAAAAAATAAAATAAAAATATTAAGGGTGTGTTTGCTTGGAGTTTGGATTTTGAGTTGGGATTTGAATAGTAAAAATTTTAAATTTGAATAGTTGCATGATGTGATATAAATAGGTGTTGATGTGATGTTTTGAATGTAAAATTGATTTTTAGTATAATATAAAAAATAAAAAATAGGTGTTTGATTTGATATTTTTGGGGGGGAAAAAATTGGATGAATAGTGTAAATCCAATCCAATCCCCCAAACAAACACACCCTAAGTGTACTTTATAAAAATAAACAAAAAAAATTATATAAAAGTAGAATATTAGAAAAAATTATGGTTAAAGTACTACTTCCTCCATTCCATATAGAGAGTGTCAAGTGGTTTTATTTTATTTTTATATATTAATTCCACGTAATTTATTTATTTATTTTTATAAAATAATTATATACTTTAATAATGTTCTAAAATTTTACTCCATCCGTCCGGTATCTATATATCCATTTATTTTTTAATGACATTTGTGTAATATATTGTAAATTGAAAGGATATTTGTAGACAGTAGAGACGGATGGAGTATATTTTACAATTTTTTAAATTTTAATTAAATTATTTTAATTTTAATATATAATAATTATTTTTATTAATATATTTATTAATTATATTTTTTCTAAAATTAGTGTGTTAATGCAAGCATTTTTAGTTAGATGAACATAGTAATTGAAATTTATGATCAAAGTAAAATTAATATAGGTGTGTTTTTTAACGTCCAAAACTTCAATTTTTTATTATTTGAATTCTGCATTCTTTAAAGAAAAAATATATTTTTTTCTTAAACAAATTCATAAAAAGAAACAAACCTTTTATATATATTATATATATATATATATATATCACCCTATTGTTAAACCATTTTGATCCTGTTGGTTTGTTCAAATCTATAGTTTTCCTCTACGGTTCGAGTCACAGTGTCCTTGAAGTTTCCCCGGCGGATTTCGCCACCTGCACCACCGCCAGCCCTCTCCGGGGACCATTCTCCGGTGGCCGCACCGTCATTCCGCTCACCGCCGCCGGCTCCCGATTCTTCATATGTGGCACCGCCGGCCACTGCCTTGGCGGTATGAAGCTCCAAGTCGACATCCTCGCCGCCGACGCCGCCCCACCGCGACCCTCCACCACTCCAACAGGCTCGTCGCCGCCGCCAACACCCCCTCCCCACCGGCCGGAAAATTCTCTGCCACCCAAAAGCCCTAAGACTACTCCAGCATCACCAGGAAATCCTGCATTGCCGCCGGCCACCGGAAATCCTTCCGATGGGTCCCTATCTCCGCCTCCGCCACCATCCTCCGCCGCTGGAAACAGTGTTATGACCGCTCTCGCCGCCGCATCGGCTGGTTTTCTGATCATGCTACTTTGAAATTTAGGAAGACGAAGAATCTTTGATATTTCAATAGACTATTTAAAAAAAGTTGAAATTATTTTTCTTGTTTTCATAATTTATTATTTGTACTATAAGAGATTCTTGGCTTTGGTGCATTAATTAATTTGTGGTTCTTTTATATTTATAAGATGGTAATTCGTCCCACTCTTATTTGTATTATTATAGGAGTATTTTTTAACAGCATTTTGGACACAATTTTTTTTTTTTTTTTTTTCCGACTGTTTTATAATTTTAGGTGTGTTTCTTTGGAATTTTGCCTCTGAAATTTACTATGGTGATACTGTAATGGAAATTAATAATGGAAACTCCCCTACCATAGACAAACTCTGCTCCCCGATCGAACCTAAAACCCTGCAAACTAGGCCCGATAAACAAGGCAAACCATGTGTGGCAGGTGACATGAGGCGTCGGGGGTTTGAACCCATGACCTTACGGTTACATGTCCAACCCCTACACCACTAGGCCATCCCTTACGGCACCCCATTACATTCTAATTTCATCTGTGAACTTATTGTTCATCTTATTTTTTCTAAGTTAATGGTATGCAGATGATAATTTTGCATAATTTCTACTGATTTTTGATCGAATTTGATTTTGTATTAGAAATAGAAAAAATTGAAGATATTTGTAAAATTTAATGTTATTGCTTTGATTTAAGCATATCCATGCCTAGAAAGATTGAATAAGCAAATATTTGAAGGATAAAATTAGAATTTCGCATCAAGAGAAATTGGTGGAGCAATAAAAAAATAAAAAATTATTATTAAAGCCCAATTCAGGGCTGGTCGTGTTTTACATCAAGAAAGGGGAAAGAAATCAAAGATCAACTTGGAGAGAAAGCAAGAAGATAGTATGACGGCCGGGGCGATCAAGAAAAGGCTGTGCAATCCTGCATCATCTACTGTCAAGTAAAATCTTTTTGTTTTTTAATTTCTAGTTGTGTTTAGCGGCTAAGTTTCTTTTGTAGTCTAATTAAGGTTGGATTGAATTATTCGATTATGGATTTATGAGATAGTTTCGCATTTTAATTGATTTTTTTTTTTGATTAATTGATATTTCTGTGTATAATGTATAGTCATTAGATGTGATTTACTATTGTGGCCAGATTTTTAAGCCTGTCTATTGATTGTGCTTATTGAATAACTGCATCTTTAATCGTGTATTTATTTGATGAAGTAGTAAATATGTTTTTGCCATTAGCCTAGAAATTGCATAATCGAATAAGAAATATTGTAATTGATTAATTATTCAGAATTGGATTTTTTTGGTAATATTTTCAATTGAAGAGTTTTTACTAAGGTTGTACCTAGTTTCATTATTTCAATTAAAGAGTGGTCAATTGGTTGTACCGTTGCCATCAACAAAGTTGAAAAAAATCGAGTGTTCAATTGTATCAAACAACTATAACTAATTTATTAATTGATTGATTAGATTATTTAATTCAATGATCACATACATTATCTAACTTTTTATTCAATCCTTGAAATAGAGTTTTTATTTCGTGATAACTCAGTTTCAGTTCTTTTATTGATTGCTTGACGTTATTTGGTTATTTGGTTTATGTGAATTTCTTTAGGATAGCTAATTCAATTCTCGATTGAACCCCCCCCCCCTCCACTCCCTTATAATTAAATAATTAACTAAAGAAACATATTCATAGTCTCTGTCAATCGATCATGTTTTCATTATTCTACAACTGATTAGAAGTAATTATTTGACTGACACGCTTGTCAATATTTGACGCCGTGTTGCCGGGGACTGGTTTGATTATTGTTACTTTTGTTGCTTTATTTATTATTATTCTATTTCTTTTATGTTTGTTTTTTGTTTATGCCCCGATCTTCTCGAACATAAAATTTGATATAGGACTCAGAAATCGGAAAACTAGCAAGGAAATTGAAAGAAAAAAGCTATAAAAAAACTGGAATCCATCGGAAACTTTAATATCTAATGTGCGCAACTCTGGTTACAAATATTGGTTATCTAATGTATAGCAGCACGCAGGAGTTGTATTAATATTATTAATAATAGATGCTACAAAAACAGAATAATCATATACAAACCTACTGCTGGCTTGTAGTTGTAATATGCATCATAATAATCTGAATAAAGGTAAGATTTTCTTTCAACCTCGAGATGAATGCATCAACCAAACACATTCTAACACTATTGATATGAATAATATCAATTGAGAAAATTTATTACAAAATAAATGGAATTCACATGTTCTTACAACAAAAATGTAGAATAAATGTCAAGGAAACTATTATCAATGCTCAAATATAGTAGAAATGACACAATCGCGTTTCTTTTTCAATTATTATGGTTTTTTTTTTAAATCAAAACTTGAATCTACCCGGTAAATTTGCCACACAACAAATATATAAATTTAACCTGCAAATCGTACATTAAGTTCAAATCTTAATTGGATCGAAAAGTATAATGTCAACAAATTTATCTACACTAGAAAAGTAGGAATCTTCTTGATGTTGATAAATGACTTGTGAAGTTCTGGACATATTGAAACACGCGTTGATGAGTGTCAATGGCAACTTGCTTGAACCTAAGAGTTCCCGATTTAGATCTTTCCACAAATTCTGAATGAGTTCCATTATGTGTTCTCTAGCTTCATCTTCAGATGCTAATTTATTTTCCTTCATGAGCAGTGTTACAACGGATGAATTGTCTCCTCGATCTTTTTCCTCCTAGAATTCACATTAATCATTAAAGGAAAGTAAATATAAACCAAATGCTAATATGCTATTTATAAGTACATATATATACATATATATAATGAGGAAGCTATAATTCAATGAATTAAAATGGACGTATATTGGATTTGATTATGTGGTCTGAAAAAATTACCTTTGCAGTTCCAAGATCATCCCAAAGTCGAAGAATCTCTCCAGAGATTGAAAATATTTTTGGATATGGTTTTGCCATATATTTCACATTTTGTTCATTAATTCCTTCACCGGTTAAGAAGAATGAAAGAACTAAAGCCATGTAGGATCCGGATGTCGTTATTCCATTTCTTAAATAATCTTCAATGCACGGCGTATGCCCATTGTTGAACCACTCAACTTCGACCATAAAAGCTTCTATGGTATCAATCCACTGTTACAATATTAGATAACTCATGAGTCAACTTGAAGATGAATATAGTTTAGGAAATGATTGTACAATTTCTACGAATTCTTAGATGGCGACGTAAAATATTTTAATGTTACTTTTATATTTTAGTTAAGAAGAAATAGTTACCATTTTGGCAAGGTAAGGGAGTATGTTTCTCCCTTGTTCTTTAAGGACATGGTAAGCAATTTCATTAGTTGTATTGTAGAGAGCCATGTAGCATATTTTCATGTACTCGGGGAGTTCTTCTATTGCATTGAGATCCCATCTGAAAATTGTTATAAATCTTTATTTAAAATATAAGAATTAAAAAAAGGCCTCTAAAACAATTAATTATATTCTCATTTATAGTATGATATGAAAGAGGGAATTTTAATTGAATACTTTTCAATAAGTTCTTCCACTACATTATATTGAGATCCCATTTAGGATTATGACTTACCTTTGGATCGCCTGTGTAAATAGGGAAAGTTCTTCGATGTTGCCATAGGTATCAAAAATGTCGTCGAGGACTAACAATATAGCTATGCTTTTTGCCATTTCTATTCGGACAGAAAAATATTTGGGATGTGGAAAAATACCAACTGTCCACAAAAAACATTCCATGGGACGATTTCTGGCGAAACTCAATTTATCTGTAAGCCCCAAGTGCTTCAACCACCTTTGCAATAATGAAGGTCGGGTTATTGAAAATAAAAAAATTATAAAAGAGAAATGATCTAGGAATGCCAAGAATTAGGAGTTACATAACATACCTGAATACCTCAGCAAGTTCCATTTGGTATAGTGATTGGACATGATTATAATCAGATTTTGCCAATTTTAAAAGATGGTCATTGGGATGGCTTTGGTTGCTGTATTCATCAATATACAATCTCGATTCTAGCCTTTCCATTCTCAAGTGCCGAGGAAGTTCCAAGGCTCGACTTATAGGCCACGAAAAATGTCGTGGCAAGGTTGTGCTCCTAGCCATTAATTTTAGTTCTTTTTCGGCGAATGTCATGGCTTTTGATAATATATATTCATCACTTGTACCTAAATACGATGCTTCGTATAAACATAGAAGGCCCTCTTTGTCTTGCTTTCTCACCATGAATTTTGTGAAGATATCTGCCAATAATTTGAGTACAAATATGTTATAATTTCAGATATTTTTTTTTTCCAAAAATATCGAACACAAATGAAATTGAATATCCAAAATACCCGAGTTAACCGGCCTTGAATTTTGTCTAAGTAGTCGAAAACGTAAAGCTGTGGCTTGTAAATCATGTTCAGGAGCATTCCAATGCTGTAGCTTCTCCAACCAAACATCGATCTCTTCCTCGTAGTGATAGGAAATTCCTAGCCATTGGAGGGTGTCAATAAACTTCATTGCAGCTGTTGGATCCAAACCTTTTTGTAGAGCTATTCTTGTTTTTTCTTTCAATTCTTCCATGGTTGAAGTAGATTCTCTTCTTGCTTTGCGTTTCTTCTCCTGTTTCATTGATTTTTTTGCTTTAGGTTAAAACCTTACATAAGTAAAAAAATCTCACCTCAAAGGAGAACAATTGATAATAAGTTCGGCAATGTTACATCCTATGAATGATCGATATATAGCAATCTCAATTTGTCATAAGCATCTAGCGTTTGTTTGGTTTTAGTTTGAATTTGAATTTTCGTTCAAATAATATGATATTTTATGAGATGAAATATATTATTTTTTTTATTAAATGTTAGTATTTTTTTTATTTGAAATAAAATAAAAAACCCGTAATTCCATTTTTGTAACTTTGTTTGTCATTTTTATACTGATTGTGTACATTAACATCACCTGAAGAGTACTACATAACAATAACAGGCAAACTTAATAATTAAACACTACATGATAAATGATTTAAAGTTTTTTCATGATAAAATATGTAGAATCAAAATATTTCTCTGGAAAAGCCCTAGTTTAAAACTAAGTAACTGATGCTCGTGTTATCCCAAAAAAAAAAAGAAAAAAGTAAATTATGGTCGTGATCGACATGGTATATACAAGAGCAGTAATTGAAAAAGGAATCCATTACTGAAGTTATGGAGGGCTTGAGAGAGCTATTGGCATGGAATTCCCTACGTTCCATTGACACCCACAAAAACTTGCAACCATTCCAAGGAAAACGACAATAAGAAGAAGAAGAAGAAGTCACGTGCAAGGCATGAGAATTCGAAAGATTAGTTTTACATAGCATTAGTGTATTCATGGTTGCTATTTAACACCAAGTTGTGTATTGGCCAACCACTTTATTTTAATTTAAGATGTCTAAATTTTATTTCCTTTGGGAAAAGACAAGGGCTTTATATAAGGGTGTATTTCCTTAAGCGCCTGTTTGAAATATTTCTCTGTTTAATCACTGTAGATTTGAGATCGCGCGGGAGTATTCACGGGTCCGACACATTCCGATAGGGTTTGGGAGTAAGCCTGTGTGTTTTTAGGCTTTTTTTTTATCCTATTTTTTAATTCTTTTTTTTTAAAAAAAAATTAAAATATAATTTAATATTTATTATAATTATAGGGGAAAAAATCTATACAATGTATATATCATTGTAGAGAATAAAATTTTCTATAATACAAATAAATTAAAATTAAAATATATATGTTGGGTATAATATAAATTTATAATCAAATCATACAATGTAAATTTTATCAATTAAATTTAATACATATTTTATATTATTTTATTTATTATCCATCGAATCAATACACATCGAAACTCCCCAAATCCCAATCAAATCCAAACACAAAAGAAACAACAAAAATTCAAATAAAAATCAAATACCATAGGTATATATCAGTTTTTATTTTCATTAAAAATTATGAATATTAGTATTAAACAATGATGTGATTTTTATTGTAATAATATGTAAGTTCTAAAAATTTTCTAAAGTTATGCTGTAAGTACAATTATTAAAAATAAAATAATTAGATTAATTTCCGAAAGACTAAAATGACAAAATAGATAAATTTATTTGAAATATTAAAAATATAATATAATTATAATTATATTTATTCGGTCCACCGGGTAATCCGCCCACGGCGGACTAACCCATTTTCAACCTGCATACAACCCGTGTGATTTAACTCGTTTAGGAGTATATTTTAGCATACCTAAAAAATTAAAACCCAACCCATTAAAAGTGGAGCGAGACGGATCAACCAACCGACTCAACCTATTTTGAAAGTTCTCGTTTATACACCAACATTTTTTAAAGAGGTCTACCACTTAATATTATTTTAAAAAATTACATAAATATATATTCATATCATATATATTATATGCATTACAAAAGTCAATAATTAAATATAATTTTTTTTTCTATTTTCCTTATACCGTATCTCACATAAAAAAATAATTATCTCAAACTAAAAAGACAAAACAAACACACCGTTAGCATAATTAAAAACCAATTAATGATCAATCGAAGTCTTTCATATACATTTTCGGTGTGTTTACTTTATTAGTGGTTTTTTTTTTAAAATTTCTCTACACAAAATTCTTATAGAAAAAAAGAAGAGAAAGAGAAAGATAAAAACGACCAAATAAAGCAGATAAGAACAAAGAGAAGATCATACAGACTATGGACTAATTAAATTTGATTAAACATAATTAAGGGAAATAATTATAGCCCACTTTAATCTACATTTTGTTGAATTTAAAGTGAATCTAATAATTTTGTATTGGATCAACACTATAGTCGGTGTAGTAGATCGAAGATCATCGATCGGTTTAAATTTTATCAACATTTTTTATTTATATTTTTTTCTTTTTATCGAACCTACCGATATTAATTTCGCGCCTGCCTACCGGCAAGTGCTCTCACGAGATTTAAATTGCCAAAATAGGATCTAAAATCAAGCTATGAGATTTGGTCTAAAATTCAATTATATATATATATATATATATATATGCTATTCATTTGGTTTTGAACTGAAAATGGAAGCTAGATCGTAGTTTGGTCATTTTCATAATTACAACATTGGGGAATAGTATCCGTATATAATGGAAGATAGACTATGTTTATCGATAAAAGTATTATAAATATCAACCAATAATTAACTATAAATCACTATTAATTTTTATAATAACAATAACATCGCTATATTAATAAAAATTATATTACCATTTTTAAGTTATATACGACTGTTTATTTATATTTTGAAAATTGTGTCTGTATAATTAAATAATTTTTTTTATCTATAAAAATTAATGTATTAGATACAAAATTAATTTTTTATTCAAAATATTATATCTAGCCTATACTACTAACTTTAAAACCCAACTCAAATTTTATAGCACATTATTTAAAGGCAAAAGAATAATTTGAAAATATACGTGATTACAATATGAATAAACAATCAACATTATAAAAAAATAATTATTAATAATTAAGAAATCCAACATAGTGTTATTACGGACAATAATAAATATGTATATATATTGTTAAATAAAAATATCTCATATTTTTTATGTTGACATATATATTTTACCAAATTATGAATTTTCACAAAAATGGCAAATATGCACAGTTTGTCCTCATTGGTGTAGAGGAGAGAAAGGTGGCAGGTTGTCTATGTAGAGTTATAAATAAGCCGAATAGAGCTGAGCTTCTCATGTTTGAGCTAGGTTCGTTAAGGACTCGAGCTCGACTCATATTCGTTCATTAAGATATACGAGTTGAAATTTTTGTTTGAGCTTGATTCATTTAACAATATTTTTGTTCATGTTTGGCTCGACTCGATTCGTTAAAAGAAATTTTATTTTATTTTATTTAATTTTTTTAAAAAATTTAAATTTAGTTAATAATAGTTATAATTTTTATTAATAAATTTGAATAAAAAATAGAATAAAATATGATATTTATAAAGATATATATACTTATTAAATATAGAATTATTAATTTAATTTTTTTAATAAATACTATCGAACGTTCGCGAACAAATTCGAGCTTATTCGTGAACATAACGAGCCAAAATTTATGTTCGTGTTCGGCTCGTTTTAGCTTAGCGAACGAGCTCTTAGCGAGTTTAAACAAGCCGAACCGAGCCGAGCTCGCAAACAGTTCATTTGTTTTACAACTCTATATCTATGCTATTTATTTTTTTCTATCGTATTATATCCATAACAAAAAATAAAAAAATAAAAATTGCATGATTGAATAGTCAAAGTGTTGTCTGATTTACCATGAAAATACCCAATACTATTTGTATTAATCAACTCTCGTATCTTGGTAAATAAATTAATAATGCGCATTTATAATAATTTAAATTTTTAGGTGAGACTGTGGTTCGGATTATATATAGAAGAATTGTGTGTCAGCTATTATTGGCAATTCCTCAATATAGGTTTTAAACGTCTATACTAATCTCATATTCTCATTTTGATATATAAAGTTCCATCATCTTTTTGTTTATTTGTTTAATTAACCTTTTATTTATTATCTTTCTTCTTCTAATTTTGTGTCCCATTTTTTTTTTCTTTCATTCTTCTTTTTATTTTACCCCGTCACCAAAAGTAAATAATTCAAAACATTAAATATCATTATTTTATATTATTAACGTAATTCCACATATTAAACATAAAAAAACACGTTCATCCAAAAAAAATAAAAAATTGAACAAAACCGAATATAGATTAGATGTTTTTTTTTATTATTACTTTACAATCATTTTTTTTTATTATTATTATTTAAAATGGTTTTATTAATTGTATTTACAAAAATAAAAGAACCCATAAATAAAAATTTAAAAAATATCTTGTGAATATGATAGAATAATAATTGCAATTTTTGTCTAGAATTATTATAGTCAACCACGATTAAATAAAGAATGCTATATAGAATTTTGAAGATTAGATTGGGCTATCGCATATCATAATAAATAGCTACCTCTCAGATCAGGTTTTGCTACAGAGGCAACCACCTCTGCCTAATTCTTCTATGTTCTTCCATTCCTATGCATTTTAGGGGTCTATTAAGTTTAGTTACTTTCACTAATATACAAGTTTATTTTTATTTGTTTAGATAATATCATATATTTTTAATTTGTTTTGAGTTATTATAATTTGATTTTTCCATTTTGTACCGTATTTATAAATAAGTCATATTTCATTAGCATTAATATGTAACTCTTTGAAATTTTATAAAATATTACATGATATTAAATAGATATTTGGCAATCGAGTGTTAGCTTTCGACGGTAGGCTCATTCAATTAGTTCATATATTTAGCTGATTCAATTTGCTTGTTTGACTAATGAGATATATTAGTTATTTGTGTCGGAATATTTATACGTAAAATGACAAATTAACGATATTTTATACTATACTATTAAGATGTTCAATTGTTTTCTTTGGGTGGGTAGACTTATTGAGATTTTGTTTTGTTTTGTTTTGTTTTAGTTATTGTAACTTGTGAAATTATTCTAAAAATAAATAAATATTTATTTATTTAGCTATTTGTGAAAACAAAATATATTTTTATTGAAAGATATACTCATTTCATTCCAATTCAATAATCTTATTTTATTATTTCTGTCCGTCACAGGTAAAAAAATGTTTATTTTTTTTTCACTAGTTCACCCCTCACCATCAGGTCATTTCGTTCGGGGTTTTCATATTTTTTTTTCTTAGATATTGAGGAAGTGGTCAAAGAATTTTAAAATATGTCGAGAATGTTTTAGGTCATAATACAAACAATATATCCCAATGATCAAATGATATTTCATAACAATGTATGATTGTCTATGAATTTTAATTCTCATTTCACAATTTTCATTTTTTTTTAAATACATGGGAACCCTTACTGCTATTCTTCGTGTGCATTTTGGGTAAATTCTCGTTCAAATGTAATAGCTGCAAATTAGGCTTAATAAAAGAAGTTATATTAGACGAACTATGTGTCACAGTCAAATTTTTAAATGGATGACCTGGATTGAGGCATTTAGGCATGTTAATGTTATGCAATTGTTCTTATATTAATAATTTATGGAACTTTGTTGTTTGCAATTCTTCTGATTATGCTGTTGTTCTAGTATTAATTTTTCTGCTTTTTAAATTGTATTTGCTTTTGTGACTGCTTTTCTAAA